TAGGTTATAACTCCCAGTTATCTAGTGTCCCATTAATGCCTAGATGTTTGGATTTTACTCCTTCTCCCGTCTTTACCTTGATCATCATATTTGATACAATATTTAGAAAGACTTCCCTAAAACTGACCTGAATAAGGATGTTGTGTTCTCTAGCTGAGTATGCACTTCCATTCCCATGGTGTGTTGGCTAGTGTTCATTGGAACTGTTTGTACACATGTAAAAAGTACAACTGACGTTTTATTCAACTCGTAAGTATTAACAACCATAGCATAACAGCTATCTGTCTAGATGATGCCAACTAAACCAGATCTTTTATCAAGTATTGGTTTGTAGGGATTTTGTCCGATTGGTTGGGGGATTTCATCAAGAGCTGACATCGGTTAAAGAACCACTGGAAAACCTGCAGGGAGTACTGGACAGCTGTTTCGTCAGCCTAGTTTGGCACTCTTCACAGTACGCAACCATACTGCGAGATTCAAACCCAGGACTTTCTGGTTACAAGGTCAGTTCGTAGACCATTCATCAGCCACTGGGACCCGATCCAATGACCAGTCCATGAATTCCAACTTCTGCCAATTCACGACATAGCGCGACCACCTCGCAATGTCTTCTTCGATGAGTAACTGTCCTCAGCTTTGACCTGCTGCACCTACTGGTCACATAACACATTATCTAAAATAAATGTACAACTAAATCTTTAATTAAATGAAAAATATGTTCCATCTGCTATTGAGACCAGTGTACACGAAAGTAACCTTTATTGACGATACAGGTTGAGACTTTAATTCATAAATTCATGTAAATCACTTCTATGTGGGATACACAGGATACTTCTTATGGAGTTGGTCTTACGTCTACAGTTTATGCTCGTATTATCCTTTAAATAGTATTTTGAATATTTTCATCATATTCATTCATTTACAAATAATTAAAGTGTTGTTTCAACAACAAGCACTTACTCAAACACTGGATCCTTATTTGTCTTACTTTCATTTTTCACTTTTTTTGGCGTTCCAAGTTTCAGTAGCGCTGACGTCGTCTTTACGGAGTGGGGTTGCTAGCTGCATGCCCAACCTTCTCCCTTTATATGACCTACCTACCACCGGTTAAGCAACGTTCAGTAGTGCGTCTGTAGGCAAACGAGCGTGGTTGGCGAGCATTTTACCAGTGAATCATCGACATATTTCTTTGCAATAGGTATATGATTTTTCAAAACTGAACCAAGTCCTAATAATTTGGTGACCGAACGCCATACAGAACGACTTAAAGAATTACAAGGAAATCATGGTATTATCACTAGCCATCGCAATGAAACCGGAAGGGTTGTTTAGATGAAATGCTAAGAATATGTCGATAGAATATTAACTATTCTTCTTGACTAAACCCGAAGTTAGGACAAACAAAACGCAGTTATCTAAAAATCAAGTGGTAGATGTTTTTAGAATAACATGATTGACAAGTGAATGATTTCCTCAGACTTTTATGATCCTACCCAACCCATTGGCTCCATAAACCCACGTTAATAGGCAATACAGAATATTTATGTGAAGCTGTATTTGTCCTTCTCAACAACAGTTTCATCGGTGAATTAAATATGAAATCCAGGTAAGTGTACTTCATAATGTAGTCTACACTGAACATGTATGAGAAGGCCAATGAAAGCTTCTCAGTTAAACCATTCTGCTGAGAGAACGCAACCACATCAAAATCACTCATATAATCTACAAATCCTCTATGTTATTTCAGACATACCTTTTACTAACAGCTATTTCCACTAGCTGAGGTTATACTTCTCATAGCCCACAAATATTTCAGACTTTTAGAGACATTAATCAAGCTAAACAATCAGCGTAGACTGGCGCTGTCAGATTCAGTGTATTTAATCATGCTCAGAAAACTTTACAATGTCTAGTGGACTTTTGTGGCTCTTATGAGTGATTCGCTTCTTCTGGGTTTTTTTCCTTCCCACATAATTCTTGATATGCTCAGATTGTGTTATTCACGTGAATGATCCACAAGAAGTGTTGTCTGGATATGGTCTAAAACTGTAACCAAAAATAAGAGTGACTTGACTTTCAGTGATAATCTTCATAATTCACTAGACACACCTAAACTTGGGCCACCCGCATGAATTACGACACAAAAGAGTTTTTTATCTCTCCCTGTTTTACAGTACCGTAACACCTCTCATCTAACTTTTTCAATTTTCGCTGGTTGCAATTCCAGTGACTTATCAAGTGAGATTTTATTCCAAAGACTTTCAAGGAGTATACGAAGAACATTTTACGCAGCACACCTATGTTTGTCATTCTCTAGCTGACGAATGATTGGAACGCAAACGAAGGATAAGCTTGATAGTTTTGCCACATCTGTGTGCATTTATCAATTCAACTGCACCTGCGGTGACAGTTATGTTGGGCGTACTACTAGACAGCTTAGCCAACGTGTTAGTGAACATCTCCCATTATCGTGGTTTGGCAAAGGACAGACAAAAACAATCCGTAGCTCAATTTTGTCACATTTAATTGATAGTGGTCATGTAGTGGAGAAAACGAGAGCCTTCAAAGTAATTCATCGTATCCTACCGAATCTTTCCAATAGACTTCGTATTCGTCTACTGCACATAGCTGAGGCAATAGGCATTCGAACTATTAAACCTAAACTATGCATTCAAAAAAGTTCGTACAGCCATAATCCCTCCCTTGGCCTATTAAGACATAACCAACTAATGACTTCTCCTTTTTTCAACCCCTTTCTTATCATCCCTTAATCTTATCACACCATTATAAACGTGTTTCATTTACTTCCCTTACAATTTAACATTTTGTTTTTACTAGCCTTTATCGACTACTTCCACCTGAACAGTTGTTTGTTTAATCTTGCTGTTTTTCATTATTCGTGTTATCACAGATTGCCTCACCTTTTCATCCTTATTATTGATAAGACCATTATTATTATTACTATTATTATTATCATTACTACTATTATGACTAATTGCACAATATATATTCACCATCGTTTTATCCTATAGACAAAACGCCATGATTGGTTTATATTTGAATTTTTATTTGTAAACTTGTGTATATTAGAGTTAAGCCTGATGAGATCTAATTGAAAACAATATTGTTCGCTTAAATGTGTTGTTATAAATTTTACTATAGGAATATTTAATATATTGAATTCCAGTGACGTTTACGCTCATAATTACAACTGAAAACATGTGTACATTCTTCAGCAAGTACTTCGTCTTTCTATGGTATGACTGTAAATCACTAGAAAAAGTGAAAATAAATGAATTGAATACTCTAAGTAGCAGAAACGAAGGTGAAATCTACCTGCCATCCAATATTATGAATATCTCAATCACATAAAACACTTCCACCTGGGATTTGAATTTAGACTGATTTCACCGCCACAGACACTACGAACTTCGTGAGTTTATGAAGTGGTTAGGTTGAAGGAGAACTATTACACGTATAATATTCACATTATTTCTATAGAATTATAGTGATGATTATCTTACTGGATTGGGTCCCAGTGGCTTATATGGTATACGAGTTCGCCTTGTAACTAGAAAGTTCAGGGTTTGAACCCCGATTGGTGCGTACTGATTAAGAGTGCCAAACTAGGCTGACGAAACAGCTGTCCAGTACTCCCTGCAGGTTTTCCAATGGTTCTTTAACCGATGTCAGCTTTTGATGAAAATCTCCAGCCAATAAAAATAGGACTTCAAGATTTACGCTTTAAGTTAATATTAGTGGTGGTGTTGGTTTTACTGGGTGAGTTTGCTAGTCTCACACCCAGCCTATACTCTTTCTTCTGATTTACTACCTGGCTAGTGGATTACGTAATGGTGTAGAAGTGCGTCAGCCGGCAACTGAATCCGGACTTTCTTCGTGACGGGTGGGTATTCTACCAGTGGACCACTGATAAACATTATATCCCCCAGACGAATACAATTAACAAGCTGCACACGGATATTAGGCACAGGTATATAAAATTTTCGGTAAAATTGCCAGCATTTAAGACCTAGAAACAAGGGAATAGTTAGTCATTCATCTGCCGACGCACACCTGATATCAATGGTTGGCCTGCAAAATTTGGGCTACCGATATCACATGCTGAAAGTTTCATACTTGTACCGAAAATACGGAGTGGAATCAAGCTGTAATCAAAAAAATATATTAGATAAGTTTATCTGATATATTAGATAAACACAGTGACACAATATAACTGTATAACATTTTGAGAAAAATGTGTTCTTGGATATGATAGAGAAGATTTGTAGCTCAGGTTGTGTTCTCTGAGCTGGATAGTTAATTTGCGAAGCTTTCACCACTCCACTCGTGGAGAAATCTAAAAGCTCACCTCAAATTGAAGTATGCGCTGAAGATGTCACCCAGTAGGGTGATGAAAGCTTCGCAAATTAACTATCCAGCTCAGAGAACACAACCACATCAAAATGTGTTCTTGAATGCGTGACTTCAGTCTACTCATATTCCTGAATATTATAAATATCTTCGACTTTTACCAGTATTGTTGTTATAAATGGCTGTTTCATTCGACTAGGAATTAGCACCTAGGCTAAGGCAGTTCATCATCTGTCAGAAATTAACAGAGAAAGACGTCTTTGCATCTCTGCAACTGTGACATCGAATTTTATACATAGGGAGGTTTGGAAATGAATACTCCTAGCTGTAAACACACACATACACACACACACTCACAAACACAGAGTCATAATGGTCTACATTTCGGTAAAGGTGAACACAATGAATTAAAACAATTAGTCCCTTTGATAAATTTCGATAAGGCGATGAATTAAAGCGATATGAAATTTCATTGGCTAGTAATAATAATTCCTTCTCTGCTTTTATCCAGATCTGTTATTCATAACGGGTGAGTAAAATTACACAGAAACAGAGTGAAGAAGGCAGCTAGAGTAGAGGTAAAGGATTACAAATAATCCCCGTTTATTCAACTGGTCACTCTGCATTGACAGAAATATAAATATAGTAAATAATTTGTATAATTACTATCAGTGTAACAGTATTAATGATGCTTCAAGGTAATTGAATTCCCTTCACAGTCTATCATACACAATACATGTTTAGACAGCATTTCTCCCATGCATATGTCAAACTTTCAAATAAACACAGGTAATTATAATTTTTATGTGATGCTTTAATTTTTTACGTGTTGAAATGTTTGATAGAAGTAGAGGAATTCAAAAACAGTGATTACCGTTAGGAGTTGGTATTAACTTTAGTAGAATACACTGCAAAATTAAGAAAAATTATCGTTTTATATTTGTTATAGTAATATGAGTCATAAGACTACTATCTAGTACGTAAAAAGTCATCCAAAGACTTGAAAGCCCTAAGCTGAATTGAATTATTGAGTGAAAAGATGAAATTTTGTTTTTATTGGACTGTCCAAGTGTTTCTTATCCTGGTAAAAGAAAACGTTTTATCAGTGTTATTCTTTAAAATTATTAACTCTTTGAACAACAAATGGATTTTCGTGGCTAAAAGTGGTAACTTAGAAGCCTAGAAATCAGAATATACTTGGACTGCAAGTGAGTATTTTTGAGTAGCTGTTAACGATATTCTAGCTTCTCAATTATAAGGAAAACATATCATTTTTGGTATATAACACAACTAATCAATCACATAACTTTATGTTCTGTTGTATTGTTCTTCGGATTAAGATTTTCATGACGCCTGAATTTGTCATTGTTGACGGCGTTTAGATAAAACTATAAAGCTGAAGAGATTATAAGTTGGAATTACTTTTCTGTCTCTTTCTCTGTTACTTTCACGAAACAAACCACATATGCGACAACTTGATAAATGTACATGAGAATAGTAATTTTCTGAGAAATATTGGTAGGATCCTGTCTACGACTGGGTGACAGATGATTGTGTCAATTCGTGTCATGTCACTTCTACTACTCATATCTCAAAAATATGAGAATTCACTAGCTTTAAACTAGTATATACCATAGGTATAAAATTTTGAGAAGTTGAATTAACAGAAACAAGTTTAAACACATTTGGGTACATCATTTTACAGATTCGTCTCAGACGCGTGAATATACTAAAATGCATGAATCATCAGTTGAATTATCGACTAATGTAGGTCGCGCTTTTGATTCTTGTTGTAAAATCTGCAATCCATGTCGCTTAACTATTTCATGAGCAGGGGTTTCCGTGCGAAAAACTGTCAAAATTTAAATTAGATGCATGTAACACATGCATGCACTCAATTAGGCTGAATAAAAAAAGGGCTTTAAGCTCACAGACTAATAAAATTTACTTATAATAAGGTTTCTTTTACTTCATATTATGATTAGAAATAATCGACACCTTTGTTTTAAGTGTAAAAACATTAGTAAAAGAAAGGGTTACGCACTGCTGCTGCTTCTCTACTTTAGTAATCCTTTTTTAAGATTCGCTGAGTCATTCTTCACCTCTTGTGAAGTGTTACAGTTAGTGTAGTCAACCCATTCACATTTTCCAGTATTCGTCAGTTATTTAAATGCACAGCCCATAATATGAGTATGACTTTATTATTATGGTTATTGTGTTATTACTCTCATGAGCTCCTGCTGGAATACAGGACGTCAGAAGCATTTCAGCACTACAGTTGCGCATAGGCTTTCATCTCTTCTCCTCCTCCTCCTCACACAGTCTTCCCCATGTCACCTTCGGCACCAAGCCAAACTCATCGTTTCCTATTCTGGTTGCACTCAGTGGCCTGCTTAGTGTGTGTCCCATCTACCTCCATTTTTTTATCTGCATATTTGTTGAGCAGTCATTTCTTGATAGATTAGTTTCCAGAGTTCGTTTTTGTTAATTCTTTCTGACCATCTGACCTTCAGTAGTGAGTCAGAGAAGGCAGACGTTAATGGAAGTCTTCAGTAGGTTATTGGAAATGCTTTTTCTGGGAGGTGTGCGCTAAATCTCTGAACCATTTAGAAGCGCTGACTTCGATTTTTCAGTATAAATTTTCTGTTTCAGTATAACTGGCAAATTTTATTGTTTTTTTGATAATGTTTTATTGCTGAACACACTTCTTAACACTGATGTGATATCCTTAAACGCCTATCTTATAATGCTATAAAATATGCTGCGATTGTACACCTGCGTCGGTGGCACAGTGGTTAGGACTCTCGCCGACCATGCACATGATCCGAGGTTCGATTCTCTGCTGACGCACACCCGATATCTATGGTTGGCCTGCAAAATTTGGGCTACCGATATCTATGCTGAAAATTCCATATTTGTACTGAAAATACGGTGTGGCATCAAGCTGTAACCAAAATAAAATAAAAATAAATACTTGAATTGCATTTTCTTGTTGTGAAAATGAAAGCCTTTGATAATGCATTTGTGATCAGTTCTTATTGGTGGCGGCAATCAGTCCGATTCATTCACAAAATATCTCTTCAAAGTCTTAGTTTCACTGTGTTCCAAGCGGATATTTGGACATTAGGCCTTTGAAGTTTCAGTAGCAGTGGTGTTTTTGTTTTCGGGCGTTGAGGCTTAGCGGGCTGGGCTTGCCACCGGCTAAGAGAGATTTTGGAGTACGTCGGCCTGGAACCGAATCCCAGACCACGTGCATGTTTGGAGAGTATTCTGCCATTGAGCCACCTTCGCAAGTCAGTATATCTAAGGAACCTTTTAAGACACCAAATTCTACTTTATCATGGTAAATTTAACAATTTATTTCTGGATTTAAATCTTAGTCATAGTGGTTGCAAGTAATTAAAAAGAGATTGGCGTTTCAACTACTAACAAATATAAGTCACTTTCGCAACTTATGTCCGACATGTGACTATGAATATCTGAAGTACCAAAAGGACGCAACGTTTGACTTTTATTATACTCACTCAACTTTTTATCAGTTATTATAATTAGATACTGAAATCTATCAAATCAGCGGCCTACAGTACATTTCATACTTAAATAAATGTCGTATAATTATTTTCATATCTGCAAACTTCGTAGAGATTCAGGTGAGACGAAAATTTATCGCTAAGGGAAGATGCTTATTCAAAGTATAGGCTCAGTAATTTTTTCATTCATTTGCTTTCCGAGCGGAAGATGGGGTTTCGAGCCTCGAACTTCGAAGTTCCATCAGCACTGGTTATTTACAGACTGGCTGGCCTCACGCCCAACCTTCGCTCTTCTCCTGGCTTACTACCAGCCAGTAAATTAGGTGTGGTTTAGGAGTGCGTTGGACAAGAATCGAAATTGAACTATGCGCGTAGCTGGCGAGAATTTTTTTTCTTCACTGAATCACTGACGAACACAAGCACGTTTAACAGTGAATTGTTCAAAACGGAATAAAAACACATGGCCGTTTGAAATAGGCTCAAATATGGCATGCTTTAATTCTGTCAAAAGTCATTACATTTAAGTAGAAAGTAGAAAGAATACTGGAACCAAGTCGCTAGCGCTGTCCTTCAGAAATCATTCCCTTTTGTTTATATCTGGAAAATATAACACCAAAAAGTAATACTAACGACTGAAGTGTAAGCATTGTTACAAAATATAAAAAGCTAATCGAGACTAGGTGCATAGAAATGAATTTGAATTTAAACAAACAAAGAAGTGATAGTAGAAATCATGATATCGAGTGAATACTATCCAGATTGTGGATGTTAGCATAATTTTATTGTCTTGAGTGATTGTATTTTTGTCTCCATAGCTTTCGACATCAATCCGGATGTCGTTTCAGGCGTAGCATTGCTGACGCTTCTTTGACAGAGCAGCTTTTGACTAACCGACTGGTGTGTTGGAAGTATTCCAATGTACTTGATCTTTATTCGGTATACTTGTCTTCTCCGTCAAATAGCTGCAGTGAATCTTATCTTCTATTTTTATAGGCTCAGTTGAATTTTAATTATTCTCATGATAAAAGCTTCTTTTTTGGATTAACTTCTGGCTTTTGTTACCTACATAGAATAGTTGTTCATATGTTGTGTAAGTGGTGAATTGCCAGATATTTCACCCTGAGCGTTTGTAGATGATTTGGTGTGACCCGTTCGGTTTGGTTAACTAAAAAAGAGGTTCTGATGCTACAGTCTTTTAAATTATGTATACATTTCGATATTGTTCACTGTGATTACACATGGAATGACTTGCACTACTAACGGAATTCATAATATTTCCCCGAATTATTGTCTCTATACCATGTAGGTTAATGAAATACGCTGAAACTCTATTATTAGAAGAGCATGGGATTCCTATTTCGTTTTAGTTTAAGATTATTATGTGGAGTGCATTCATAAAGCTGCCTTCTATTGAAGCGAAAAACCAATGTGACTTGGGATCAGTAATGATCATAAACTTCGTCCAATTCAATAGCCAGTAGTAGGACCTGAAAAGAAGGAAGAATATTCTAGCATAGTGGTCAATACCAATATTGGTGTTTTTTTAAATACTATCGATCTGTTAAGATCAATGAAATCACAGTTCACTAAAGGTGCATAAATTATAATAAGCATACAAATATAATAGCAAATAGAATATCAAATAAAATTAAGGAAATTTCCACAACAAATTGAGGATCATTGGAACCTTGATGGTCAAGGTGAGGATAGTGTCTGAACCAGCTTCTTTTGGATACATAATTTAGGTTTCTTAATGTGGATCCCAACAGCCTCAGCAATATGTAGTAGACGAACTCTTCAGGTGAAGTTGAGATTAGTTGGTATGCAGTAAATGACTTTGAAAGCCACCTTCCTTGTTGACATCAATCTTGTGTTCTGTATCCACAAGATGAGATAGAATAGGGCTGTGAATGGATTTCGTTTGTCCTTTACTTAACCACTAAGGGTGATGTTTGGAAATCCGACGAGAGAAACGACTAATTGTATGGCCTATGTAACTGGCTCCACAGGAGCAGTTTAATTGGTAAATACACGTAGAAGAGGTGGAATTAGGCAGTCTGTCCTTTACTCCTGAACGCAAAATAGGCGTGATTTTGAAGACACAGAATAATTCAGCAGCACTGAATGCTCTTGTTACCGCATTTCTAAGGCGTTGTGTTAATATCTCGCTGATGTTATCCCCGAGGAACCGAAGTTGTAAGAATAAGACCTTTTTCCGAATTGTTGGTACCTTGGGCTGTCTTGATTTTTTATTCATTTCCTTATCGATGAAATTTTCTGGATAACCGTTTTCACTCAGTAACTGTTTGATAATATCAAGTTCTTCATTTAGACATTCATCAGAGCAGACTGCTCTTGCTATATGGACCAAACACTTTATCAGACTGCGTTTGTACTTTAAAGGCACGAAGCTGAAAAAATGAGTCTGCTGACCAGTTGGTGTGGGTTTTCTATATACACTTCTTCTTAGTGTACCGTCCTCTTTATGGTTTGATAGGTGTTGTTCTGTGGTAAAACTTGATACCTAATATCCCTACAGCAGAATAAGAATTGACTTTCAACTCCCACCATTCCTTTATTATTCATTGTAGTCTATAAAAAGGATTTTCGAATATCAACAGCCACGCTCCTAAGTTTGCTGTTTTTAGGTATCATCATAGTGCTGATAAAATTCCAGCGCATCCCTGTTGAAAAAAACAACAACTTCACAGTCTACTGAAATTTCCGTTTTTCAGATGGCACCGCTGAACAACATGAAGAAAAATGGGCTCCTGACTGGCCTGAGAAAGAAAAGAATACTGTCACAAAATTGCATACCTCTGAATCACAGAATGAACAAAACAACCCAAATAACAATGACAACTGTGATGATGAAGATCCTAGAGAAGAATGGAATAACCAGTGTGATTTCTTTTTATCGATATTGGGCTATGCAGTTGATTTAGCAAATGTTTGGCGATTCCCATATGTTTGTTTTACAAATGGCGGAGGTAAGCGTTATAACTTCACCTATAGCACTGATATACTGATAATGTGAAATAACAGTTTTGTTGCATAGAACCAATGAGAGTTAGTACTACACAAGTGTTCACTTCGTTAATAATTGGTAAGACAGAACTGTATCTTTTAAATGTCGAATTCACTGAATAATGAATACGCAGATGGACTATCGGGGAACACTTTACACGTAGATATATTATTTAGACCATAGACTGCCTAAATTTACAGGAAAAAGAAAACGTTTTTATTTTTGGGGTGTACACGAATAAGTCATGTTATTTCTTGGGCTATCATTGCAGACACAGAACTCAAAAACACTTCAGCAGTGTTGATTTGACATAATATTAATTTTACCTACACGGTTCATGTATAATTTTAATGGTTTCAAACTCCTAAAGTGCTTACTCTCAGTGGACGGTTTCAGCAGTTAGGAAACAAGTTAAAATCATCTATTGTCCTTTGTTTAAAGCCAAAGCCGAGTGGAGTACGATTTGCTAGCCTAGAAAACAAACACCTATGTATAACTGATGGTGAGAATACCTGATATAACTCTGAGTTGTCAGACTGTGACTTATACACTAGATAGTAAAGCATAAATCTGGATGGTGGTTTACAGCTTAGTAGAACGTCAAACTAGCAATTCGAAGATCAGCAGTTCAAACGCTGTGTGCCCCAGGTTTTCACTTCATCTGCAATCATCACTTATCGGCTGCATATACAAACTTTAGTTCAAACAGCCGTACACATCTCTTACTTATCTTATTTCAAGACCAATCACGAGCTGACTTCAGTAAGAGGACTAATGAAAACCAGGGAGTACTGAAAAATCATTTTTTTCTTGTTCAGGACTCTTCAGCATTAAACACGCATGATTCCACTGAGGACCGAACCTAGGATCTTCAGGTTAAAAGGTGAACGCGTATAATATTGAGCTACTAGTATGAAATCTCTTGGCTCATCAGTTCTACCTTCTGTCAGTTGGCGATATAGCGCGACCGCCAGCCAAATTCATCAGCGAATAATTGTCCTTACACTTAACTTGGGGAACTCTACTACTTCTCAAAAGAACCTCAGCCAATCTCCATCCTGTAGTGATTCACTAGTGAACACTAGACTAATTTTCAAGTATCATCTTACAGAGATTTCACTGATTTCAAGATTGATCATTGACTGAATTCATTTCATTCCTACCCTTGAATACTGACTGAAATATTCTGATCAGTCAGGATGTTAAGATGGGTCAACAAATCAGCAGTTTACCTGAATGAAGATTTCAACGAAAAAGTGTGTTCAGGAGTATTGTATCCCGCCAGTATGCCAAACGTATTAAACCTGGATGTCACAAAATGATCATTAAGTAGACAAGATACTTTAGATCCAGCTTTAAAATTTTCTAAGGTAATTAACGTTTCCATTGAAAATACCAGAAACAACAAAAAATATCATTCATTTCTCTAAGAAACAGAATTTTGAAGGAGAGGCATCTTCTTTACCGGATTCAGACCACTGATGCGGTTTCTGTTGTAACCCAACTCAAAACACCTTCGGATTATTGTGTTACCTACTATCATAATTTCTATTGTCCTGAAATAATTCCTCTATACTCTGCTGAATTGCAGAGTTTTGAAGGAGGCAATTATTTTCGAGGTTGCAAGCGATAATAGTTTTTCAGGTTTTCTGCCTAACAGATTTTAATGTATACATAACTGAGAAAACACAAACAGATGAGACAAGCGGATCCATCCTATTTTTGAAACATTCCTTTCATATAATCTTTAAACTCAAAACTCACTAGGTGGAAATAACAAAACAAAAATACTTAAAATGAATGTTGGAAAATTTCTGTCTTTTCCAAGTGTTGATTCTAAAAAGTTGAATGAGGTCGTTTCGTAGCGTTTATTTATCTACAGTCTGATTATGCTTTAGATAATGGCTAGTGGATGAGCATAAGACAGGTTTTCGGTTTTGAACGTGATTCACGACCTGAATATGCTTGCATTAGTTTAGGCATTCCAATCAAGACTCGAACTAATTGGCTAACAATCCTAGTGGCACAGAGTTATAACCAGACTACTTGGTTAAAACAGTCGCGACTAGTGTTAATTTCCTCGGAGTTATAAGAGATGGGTTTTAATTCTGTATCACAGAAACAAAACTGATATTCACTAGGGTGACAAACATTTCGCTGACAAGTTAGAAGTATGATGAAACAGGCACTTGCAATTCCCACATCTAATCATTACCGAATATATATACAACTATGCGCTGAATATTTTATTCCAACCAGACATCGATTGTTTTTCTTCCGTTCTACTCCTGAATCGCCTCTTAAATATGGTAAAACTATTTTTATATCATGAGGAGTAAGCCGAAAACCTTAACAAAGTGATTTCAATCAAGTAACTTTTAGTACTTTATAATTTTATGTTTGAAGGATGTAAACAGGTTCGCATCAAATAATTAATTATCCCGAAATAGGCATATTTGTCAAAAGAATTCCGAAAGAAAGCTCTATAACTCGGACTGTCATGCATGCGGCAATTCAAAAGCATGTAGCAATTCAGTATTATTTGGCTGATGGATAACTCTTAGACATTCGGAACGATGGGTGGTGCATTTAAGCCTCAAAGGGAATGCTGTGGATGCAAGTACATCCAGTTGAAGAGCCCTGAGTAGGTTCAGATGAGCGTCCTGAATTATACAACTAGCAAACAACAAACATACAGACAACATATTAACCCTTAAACATCGCCGACATATCAAAAGACGCCGAGAATTTCGGTTCAGCACGTTCAATTAAAACCTCTCCCAGTTTGCTAGTTAGCTAGCTTTCCAGCTGGTCCTAAGAACTAAAACAAAGGAAAGCCTGGGTGTGGGGCCAGTAACCCTGCGACAGAAAAATCCATACCACAACAGAAATACAAGAAACAAACTTATTCTTCGGGGAAACTGAATGACGCGTGCTGGTGAAAGTCTTCAAAAAGCTATCCAGCCTATATTTTTTCTTTCATTGAAGGGAAAAATAACGCCGGGAACGTGAAATGTTCATACAATGTTCAAAGCTAGGAAGGCTGCCTAGGCTGCAAAGGAATGAGAAGATACGGCAGGGAAGTTCTAGGAATCTGTGGAAGCAGGTGAAATGGATGTGGACTGTTCAAACTGTTGACTGGAGAGTCAGTGATCTACTCCAGTCACCCGGACGACAACTTGGAACACACCGAGGGAGCAGCTTAATCTCTTATGCAGTAGGAACCACCCTACCCCAGAATTTTGACAGCAAGGTTCAACTCAAAAGGAAGGAAGCTACAATTATCCAGTGCTACTCACAGTGCTGAAAACATAGAGAAGAGAAGAATGGGATATTTTTATAGAAAAGTACAAACAGTAACGCATAAGATTCCGAAGGCAGCTGACGACTCTTATCAACTGGAGACTAGATGGCGAGAAAGAATTGGTCACCAGGATATCTGGGAACCAACCAACCAAGAGTCACTTGTCCAATAAAGATGTCGATGAAAATAAAGATGGATCGGACAGGTGCTGAGGAGATCATGCCACGCCACTGTTCGAGTGGAACCCAAATGAGAAAAAGCGAGTTGAATGTCCGAAGGTGGCATAGAGTTTTCTTTTGAGGAGGAGATGGCAGTCGTGGAACCAGCTAAAGAGGATTTCAGAGAACAGGGTGAAATGGAGATGCGCTGTTGAAGTCCTATGTTCCACTAGGAGCCTAAATGAATAACGATGATGTGATGATCAATTAAGGGAATATGCGGAACAGCTTACATAAATAAAACATAACATTTTTAAAAATTTGAATCAAGTAACAGCAGAACTTTGATGAAAGTATGTTACTAGTACAAATAATCAGCAGAATATACTAAATTTATTGAAATATGAATTCTATGCTCTACAATTCATTCATTTTTAATCACACATTATTTATTCTTAACACCTTCTTTTCTCTTTTTTATCCAGGGGCTTTTCTGATTCCCTACTTCATTGTGATGATCTGCAGTGCAACACCAATGTTCTACTTGGAATTAATTTTAGGACAGAAGCATCGTCGTGGAGCTATTTCTCTTTGGGATATATGTCCGATTTTTCGAGGTGATGTTCACGATTTAAAACATTAGTAATACTGAATGCAGTTTTTATCTACACAGGAAGGGAACTTTAGATAGTTTTCAAACTAAGCTGTTTGTAATTGACTGATTTCGTGTCGATACTGTTCAAAGCTTATCTCTGTCGCTTCCATTCGACTCCAAAATGATCACTTCAGAATTAAATTTGACATCTGAGCTAACCATTTCTATTTGCAAAAGACAGTTAACTCTCTTTTAAGTAAGAATTAAAATTAGCAAAAAAATAAATGCACATTAATAAGTTGCAGAGTATAGTGCAATCGTGGCTAAAATAGTGTATTTTCAGTCCCAGAAAACTTGAAATCAAGTGTCGATTTTAAATCTGAAATTTTTTGCTATATACTTCACAGAACAGACTTTCCAGTATATGGAAAAAAACCAAGGATTTAGCCCCTTTAGTTATCTAATGAACAAGATATCATATATTAATTAGCACAGTGGTGTTGGAATAAAGTCCTCATGAACACCGTCCTAATTTGGCTGTTCGAATTATTTCCGCTGTACATCTGCCACACTGTCAATCAAAACTAAAATAAACAGAGTAAATGTTGACAAGCGAGTCAGAAAGGTTCTACTCGCAGGTAACCTGGTTTATCAGAAGTTGTATGAACAGATATTTTAACGGCAATTAGTGAACACAATGATTATTAATCACGAATAAAGACTTACTTTATTTGCAATTAATAGTGTTCTCTGAGCTGGTTGGCTTGGTTGCGAAGCTTTCGTCGTCCTTCTGGACAACATCTTCAGCGCAATATTTAGCATAAAGTGGAATGAATAAAATTTCTTCATGAGTGATATAATTGCATCTCCCGGTAACCATCTTTACATATGTATTGACCATTTTCTATTGACTTGGATTTTAAACTTTCTGGTCACATGATTTACTTTTTATTAGTTGGTATATTTCGTCTATATTAACGTGTTTGTTAATTGCATTTTCGTTTGAGTACCAGGCTTCTAGGAATTCCCTGGCACTTTTGGTGTTTCCTCTGTCTAAGATTTCGACATTATCCCAATCAAACTGATGTCCATAATTGTCTATATGCATTGATACTAAAGAATATTTATCGTGTCTTTTCACGGTTGATATGTGTCCTTGGATTCTAATTCGAAGGGGACGTCCACTTTGGCCGATGTAATGCTTGTTGCAGTTCATACAATTTATTTTGTAAATGGTATTAATTTTATCGCCTTTTTCTGTTGGATCTTTTGGTTTGCATAATATCGAATTAAGCGACTTGACTGGTTTGTGTGCTATATCTATATCAAACGGTTCATCCTACCGTACATGAGAAATATCTCTGAAATAACAGCTAGAATACTGAAACCGTTTGATATAGATATAGCACACAAACCAGTCAAGTCGCTTAATTCGATATTATGCAAACCAAAAGATCCAACAGAAAAAGGCGATAAAATTAATACCATTTACAAAATAAATTGTATGAACTGCAACAAGCATTACATCGGCCAAAGTGGACGTCCCCTTCGAATTAGAATCCAAGAACACAAATCAGCCGTGAAAACACACGATATATATTCTTTAGTATCAATGCATATAGACAATTATGGACATCAGTTTGATTGGGATAATGTCGAGATCTTAAACGGAGGAAACACCAAAAGTACAGTCAGGGAATTCCTAGAAGCCTGGTATTCAAACGAAAATGCAATTAACAAACACGTTAATATAGGCAAAATATACCAGCTAATAAGAAGTAAATCATGTGACCAGAAAGTTTAAAATCCAAGTCAATAGAAAATGGTCAATACAAATGTAAAGATGGTTACCGGGAGATGCAATTATATCACTCATGAAGAAATTTTATTCATTCCACTTTAAAACACAAAATAATCGAGCAAAGAATATTCGTTTCGATAAATTCCTCTTCCGGCTGTACAGTTATATGTATGTTTATATACACGGAATATTTTAAATTAGTAGTTAATAACAATATTAGTGTTTTTTTTAAATAATATTGATTTGTAAAGTATGATCAATGCAATTATAGTTCATTAAAGATGCTTAAATTATATTAATAATAAAGATATAATAGGGAATAAGAAGACGGTTGCAGCGAAGAAAATTTTCTTTTCGACGAAGTCATCATCTAGGCTGTATATTCGTGTATTTATATCAAATGGATGGGAAAGTTCCAGAATAATTTCTGGTTAATAGTCAAATTAATAAAAATTACAATTAGGAATTAGAATGCCATGATAAACAGGGGGATGGGTAAAACTCAAACAAAGGAGCATAATAAATATGACGATTGACATTGTGCAATTGGAGGTTGGAAATGTAAAAATAACAAAATATACAGGATGTTTGGATAAAAAACTAGTGTGATGAATAATTGTTTATGCAATCAGGGATTAAATATGTAGAAATAGTAAAATGAAAAAATAAACAGGAAGTGTGGATATGAAAATATGGTAGTGTAGACAGGGATTAAGAAAACTTAAAATAACATGAATAAACAGGAAGTTTAGATAAGAAAGACGATGGGATGGTCATTATTAAAAAATATACCTGTTTATGATGACCATGGCAGGGACAGGGGTTGGACGTATTTCTTTTGAATACAAAGAGTGGATTTGAGTTTTTGGATAGCTAACGCCTCAGCGAATAGAATATCAACTGAAATTAGGGAAATTCCACAAAAATTCCGGATTATTCAAACCTGGATGGCCAAGGTAATGATAATGTCTGAACTAACTTCTTTTGGATGCATAAATTAGGCTTGTTAATATGGATCCCCACAGCCTCAGCAATATTTAGTAGTCGAACTCTTAAAGCAAACTGAGATTCGTAGGTATGCGGCAAATGACCCTGAAAGCATGATTAACGTCAATCTTGTGTTCTGTGTCCACAAGATGAGACAGAATAGCGCTGCGAATAGATTTTGTTGTCTTTTGCTTAACCAGGCAGGGTGATGTTCGGAAATTCGATGAGAAACACGCCTAATTGTAAGGCCTATGTAAGTGGATCCACAGGAGCAGCTAAATTGGTAGATACACATGGAAGAGGCGAAATTAGGCAGTTTATCTTTTACTTCCAAACGCAGAAGAGGAGTGGTTTTAAAGATACAGCGTAATTCGGCAGCAGGGAATGCTCTTTTTACCGCATCCCTAGGCGCTGTGTTAGTAACTCACTGGTGTTGTCTCCTAGGAACTGCATCTGTAGGCATAAGGCCTTTTTTGGAACTGTTGGTAACTTGGGCTGCTTTGGTTTCAGATTCAGATTCTTATCAATAAACTTTTCAGGATAACCATTCTCACTCAGCAACCGTTTAATATTGTTAAGTTCCTCGTCAAGACATTCGTCCGAGCAAATCTCTCTTGCTCTGTGGACTAAGCACTTTATTAGATTGCGTTTGTATTTCAAGGGTACAAAGCTGAGAAAATGTGTGTACTGGCCCGTTGATGTAGGTTTTCTATAAACACTTCTTATTGTGCCGTCCTCTTTTCTGATCATAAGGACGTCTAAAAATGAAATACTAGAGTCTTTTTCTTTCTCAATAGTAAAATTTATTGCAGGATGTACCTCATTAAATTTATCCAGGATGTTCTATGCTTCCTTTTCATACTTCATAATCAAAAAAGTATCATCCATGTAATGTGCGTCGGTGGCACAGTGGTTAGGACTCTCGCCGACCACGCATATGGTCTGAGGTTCGATCCCTTGCCGACGCACACCCGATATCAATGGTCGGCCTACAAAATTTGGGCTACCGATATCACATGCTGAAAATTCCATACTTGTATGGAATCAAGCTGTAATCAAAAAAAATAAATAAATAAAAAAATTCGAGTTCATTAATAACGTCCTTCAAAGGCCCATTTTCTAGTTTCGCAAGGAAAATGTCGGCTAGAATGGGTCCTAGTGGTGACCCCATCGCCACACCATCGATTTGTCTATACAGTTCCTTATTAAATCAAAAGTGGACATTCATTGTACATTTCAAGAGAAGCTCTTTCATAAAAGATTTTGCTACATTTCATTTTATGCTAAATATTGCGCTGAAGATGTTGTCCAGAAGGACGACGAAAGCTTCGTAACTAAACCAACCAGCTCAGAGAACACTGTTAATTGCAAATCATCCACCTGAGCTACAAATCTTCTCTATTATTTCAAGACTTACTTTATGCCACAAAAATACTAATTGCTTAGTTGCGTTTGAATTGCGTTCATCTCTCATTACAGATATAAAGTAATACTAAGAACGACCACTGCAGACATTAGAATCGTATTATCACGTCAAGGCCTTGATAGGATTATGAGCGTTGAATTACGTTCGAAACGCTATCTGACAAATAATACTACATCACTGTGTGTAATTTTATGAAGTGAAATTATTCTTTAGTGGGATTAGAATCGTGGACTTGTAGTTTTGAGGACAGTATTTAATAAAACCACTGTGTAACTTGCAAAAACCACTTGGTCGAAAGTTTCGTAGTTAACAGGGTACTGGCATTAGCAGTAATATCCCAAATACATCCACGTATTTTTAAGCGCAATTACAGTGAATAAATGGACAATACTGTGTTGTGCCTGCTCTCATTTACCAAACTTTTGTTCATGTTCTCTGAGATTCTTTGATTACTGGGATATCTAAACATTTTCCCTCATTTCCGTTAACAAGGGGAAAAATCCTGTGCTCCTGAAACTATACATGGATTCCCGCCTCTAAGACAAACTCTTCACCAGTCTTTCTGTGTCATTGTTACATATTCCTAAATGTTTGGCTTAAAATGATCGGTACCTCAATCAGACGATTCTTTTCTCATAAAATGAAGTGTAGAAGTCCTAAGACTTTCGGTGCTGACTGGCAGTATCGCAGTTTAATTACTGTAATCTGTCAATGTCACTAAGCTGTCATCATACAGCGTTATTCAACGGTTGACCGCTGATGAACGGAAATGGGATGTAAATGGATGAAATTTCAAAAATACAGAAAGATAACACGAAGGTGTCAATGATTCACTCATATAATGCTCGCTAACTATGCTGGTTAGGGGGTCGGTTTCCGGCCAAAGCACTCATAAACGGTGCCTGAACCGATACATCAACACCAGTGTGAATTAGATTTTAAAGCTCAACTTTGAAGCCTTCAGCCCTACTGTGAAAGTAAAGGGATCTTTAAAAAAGCGTAAAAAAGTGAAAGGCGTGCAAAAATCAAATTTAAGATTGTCATATTAGTGAAAAATTACCTGATTTCAGCAGAAGTGGAGGATTGAAGACCGGAAATGCACTTTTGTTAACCAAGGTTTGACTTCAATTTCTGAATAGACAAGTTCCACAGTGTACAGCTGAAAATGAAAGCATTTTTGGAAAATTCAGGTAAAACACTGAGATCAATATAGAACCTACTCAAATTGCTAAAGACACATGTAACTCTGTGAAACCAGCCATGGATGTATCCAGTACACAATTCTTTATTCACTAGTCAACTTGTATATTTCAGGCACCACTACGTCACTACTGACATTTACTCAAGAAAGTAAGTTAATTAGATGCCCCATATATCTCAAGGTGTCTGTCTGACTGTTTTAAAGCATTTCACAATTTGCCATTGTATGCGTCTGGCAGCAAATGCTGATTGACCGAAACGACGTCTTTTACGCTAAATTCACTATTTCATATCTAAACTTCACAGGGACTATAATAACATATATGATAATAAAGTTTGTTGATTTTTTTATCATATGTTATTAGTTCAAATGTATTAAATCTTTTACTTCTTTCCTAGGTGTTGGCATAGCTCAAGTGATAATATCCTATGTAGTTGCATTCTATTACAATACTATATCCGCCTGGTCATTATACTTCCTGTTAGCGTCAATAACCGATATTCTGCCGTGGACTTATTGTGACCAGAGGAGAGGGAACAGTCCGAACTGTGTAAATTTTTCGTATTTACACAATCTGTCAATGTCTGATACCTCTGGTGGGAATGATTTGCTACATTTACAAAACTACAGTCTTGCTTCAACTGAATACTTTGAGTAAGACTACAAATTGTATCACTTTTAAAAAAGAGAATGTCTTTCTGTTAAAACTGAAAACATACGTAATTAATATACGCGTAAAACTTGGGCACTGTTGTAGTATTTAATTCCATATTAATGTGTTTATCAGATATATCACACAGTCAGTAAAACAGTATTATTTATTAGATAACGTTTCGGACGCAAACTGTTGTTCGTAATCAAATCAATTATGATCAAACAGCTACGAAACTTAAGTTTTATAGTTTTCTTTATTCTTTCCTATTTGTCGTCGTTGCGGTAGTAGAATTTCCCAGATGTCTGGGATAGGTGGGAAAACTTGGCGACTGAAACATTGAACCCCACGTCAAAGGTGTAGTGGAGGTATTTAGATAACACCAACAATAAGGAATATAAATCATCAGTAATACTTCCACACAAAGTAGGAGCCTCGGAAACCTTACGGAGAATTCCTAATAATCCAGGAATAAAAGTGGCATTCAAACCCACAAACTCAATTAGAAATGTTTTGTTGGTTAAAGGACCCTGTGTAACCAATCAAACAAGACAATTCAGTTTATCTAAGACCATGCTGAAATAACTGTCAGGTCAAATACACAGGCCAAAGTAGTAGAGCGGTGCTAGTCAGACTATCGTAGCACAAAATCCTGGCAAAATCTAGATTAGTTGACCTGAATAAGGTGCGAAATCTAGAGAATAGTTCAGCTATACCACTCACCACATGTAATTACACAACCTTTCAATAGGATGGGATAAAATGACAGTTTTAAAGTCCAATGAAAGAGGGTGGAGGGAGAGGTTGATGACGGAAGCTTTATTATCAAGTATTGGTTTTATAGGGATTTTGTTTGATTGCATGGAGGATTTCATCATCAGCTGACATCAGTTAGAGAACCACTGGAAAACCTGCATGGAGTACTGGACAGCTGTTTCATCCTAGTTTGGAACTCTTCGCAGTACGTACCCATACTACGGGGTTCACACCCAGAACCTTCTGGTTACAAGGCGAGCTCGTAGACCATTGAGCCACTGGGACCCGATCCAATGGTCCTTGAATTCTAAATACTGCCAATTCACGACATAGCGCAACCATTTCGGAATGTCTTTTCATGTCTAGAGCTTTCATCTACAGGTTTGCTGCAATTGGAGATGCTGGTGAATCCATTGCAACTCCATTTATCTGACAGCATAGTTTGTCTCTAAAGGTAGAATATTTAGACTCTAAACGAAGTTTTAAGCATTTTTTAAAACTTAATCTATTGATAATAAAGATTTAGTTAATACTTCCTGATTGTTTTCAAGTTCATATTTCATAATATCAAGTGAATCACATATGGAAATACTAATAAATAGAGAGACCATATGAAAACTTGCCATAATTTCGTCTTCTGCAATAATTATGTCCATTACTTTCCTTTTAAACTCTTCAATATTTTTAATGTTCGAAGGAATATTGTATTTTGATGAATAATAAAATCCGAAAAAATCTGCTGAAGGAGCGAATCGTTCAGAAAAATCTTGTTTTAATTTTTTCTTAAACACTCTGGGATTAATCTACATAATTTATAATGAATCAGTCTGACTCGGCGCTCAAATTATTCCAGGAAGTTCATAACACTTACTGTATGGAAACTTAAAACAGTTTTAACAGTTGAATAGTAAATGTGGAATTTAAAAATAAAGGAGACCAACGAAGAGCATATTCTTTCATTCCTATTAGTTTTAACAAATTGTCATTCGTACTATGCATATTAACTTAAGCATGTTTAATTGTCCATCTTTTTTTTAAATAATATTTCTCCTATTCACAGACGTGTGGTATTAAAGTTACAGCAAAGCAAGGGTTTAGAAGATCTGGGACCAATGAGATGGCAGCTGGCAGGATGCACAGTCTTTGTATTTTGCATACTTTACGCTTCAATGAGAAATGGAGTAAAAACATCGGGGAAGGTAGGTTTCCTTTTCACTGTTCATTTCTGTGTAAGATGAAGTACATTTTAAATAGCCAATATTATTTTTAAGTAAAAACACAGTTTTTTTTTATTCAGCGAAGATATTTCTTTTAAACGGCTTCATTTTCAAGCTGTACAGTCGTATTTATATTACAGAAAAGGTTATTAAGTGGCACTAAATAATTGCTCAGTCAATATACATATGTGATAAGAATAACGATAATTAAAATGTTATAAGGGGTAGAATTGAAGTGGATAAATTACAAAATTATTGAAGATTGTTTTATAAGTGAATTGAAATCAAAAATGTTTTAAAAATGTCAAGTGTTGTCTAAAAATTTTAAAAAATTAGGAGTACGATTACGATGAGAATGAAGATGTGAAGTGAAGTGGAAAGAATTCAAGTGGTAAAATAAAGTAAAAACTAGAAAGAACATTACTATGACCAAGGTAAAGAAAGGGGTTTGAAAAAACGTTTTTGAACACATAATTTAGGTTTCTGTTCATGTATAGCTAAAGCTTCGGCTATGCATAAGTGAAGATAACGTAAACTTTTGGATCGATTTGATTTTGCCATGTAGGTAACTTTGAAAGATGAATCACGTGGGGCTAAATGACCTGACTCTAACAGGTGATCACAGATAGACGACTTCGCAGTTTTACGTTCGCCTTTCATTAACCAGACTGGATAGTGTTCAGCTACACGTTTTCGGAGATTACGCTTACAACGTCCAATATAAACAGCTCCACAGCTTGAAAATGAAGTCGTTGAAAAGAAATTTCTTCACTGAACAAAAAAAAACTGTGTTTTTACTTACGAATAAATGAATATTATTTTTATTTTATTTTTTGATTACAGCTTGATTCTAAACCATATTTTTCGGTACAGGTATGGAATTTTCAGCATGTGATATCGATAGCCCATTTTTTGCAGGCAGGGGATCGAACCCCGGACCATGTGCATGGTCGGCGAGAGTCCCAACCACTCTGCCACCGACGCACACGTACTTTTTTAGAAATAAGTAGTAGTCAGTCTCCCTGAATTCTTTCTACTATTCAGTCTGAAATCAGGGGAATAAGAAGAAACTTACCACATTGTACAGCCATCAAAAAAGTAACTAGCTGTGCGGGGTTGTAATTTATTTTACTAAAGCTGAAGATAAAAACTTCTTTTGCGTTATTTTGTACTAATCTTTATTAGACCGAAATACACCATCTCTGATATTGTTCAGGAGGATGAGTTTCAAATAGGATGAAATATGCCTCCAACAGCCAAACAATAAGATGAAGAAAGGAACACTACTGGAAGCATCACTTTCGGATTGACAACCAATACACTTCTACAATGACACTAATGCCTAATTCTGCCAAATACAATTTCCTAGAGATGATATTATCAGCGAAGGTCAAACAGTGTGAAGTTTCATAAATATATGGTTGCGATGGACAGCAGCTAACTGATCACATCCATAAATACTCACTCTCCTCCAGATTACGTCGATAATTGCGTATTTGTTCTCATTCCGAGTGGAACATATGGCCTCGAGCTTTGGAGTTTCACCAGCAGTGCTTTCTTACGGAGATTGGTTACTAGCCTTACGCCCAACCTTTCTTTTGGAATGCACTTGCTGCCGGCTAAGTGAAACTTAGGAGTGTACCAGCCAGTAATCGAACACTGGCCCATATTCATAGTCGGCGAGCACTGATCAGTGGTTATTAATTATGATGTGTTTATTCTGAGTGATGCTTTGGCATTATGTACGGCACTATCACAGAGTTTGTTCCGAAATGTTAATTCATTGTAGGGGAATATTAAAGTTGAATGGTTATAGACAATATTTTGCTTCGATATTGTAGCAGACTGCGATCTTCGGTGGTACTTTGAGTACTCATGTATATAAATGAAGCAAGAAACTTAAAATGTCCCAATCAAACAGTACACTGAAATCATTAGAATCTATTCTACAGTAAGCAAAGTGACAGGTATGGGTTAGTTGACACTGCTATTGTGTAACATAAAACTTTCGTAGCTAATCTAATTGCAAAAGACGATTATTTTTTTAGGTTGTGTATGTGACCGCAATACTCCCGTATTTCCTACTGGGTATTCTTCTGTTCAACGGGTTAACACTGGATGGTTCATATGAAGGAATATGGTACTTTATCAGACCACGCTTTGATAAACTATCGGAAATGACCGTATGTTAAATTAGACCATTTGTTGCTTTGTTCACCATTAATCCGCTACATTTAACCAGTTATATTTTTTTCGCATTGCATCTAGAATTCTTAGCTTTTTCCAGAGTTATCAAAATCTGTCTGAATACTGAAGTTTTCAACATACCTAAATATCAGCTTACCAAAAAGGCTTGGTGAATGACATACTTGTAATGCCTTCTCGAATAAAAAGTATTTAAGGACATTTGATAAGGAAAACATGTTATGTATTAGTGTTGGCAAGGCTTCAGTTTCTCTGAAATCATGTGTTAATGAGATACTTGCAAAAATATAAGTAGATTAACTACTTCGCCTGGACTTCAGAAAGTCGTTTCATTTTGTTGGTGAGATAAAGTGTCATCGTCAATAAGAACGGGAGAGAAACGGGCAAAATCAGCTTATTACGAGAAGAAGAAGAAGAATACAGCACTGAATAAGTGTCCTCGTCGTAAAGAGAAGCAGAACCTCTGGTTCGTAAATTTGTCAGCGCACTTTTCAAGTTATTTCCCTAGTGTTGCTATTCACATAACGTCGCCAAAGCTCACCGATGTTCATATTTAGTCATTATCTATTTATTTATTAGCTGATTAGCTACTGAGTGTCTGATAGGTGATGTCAGGCCGAGGTTTCATACGAAGCGTCCCTTATTATGTTTGGGTTTGTGTTTTCAAACGGGTGAAGGGTTAATCAGGATTGGCTTTACTGACATTTTTTGTTGTTGAATGTGTTGTCAAAGTAATAAGGAGGCGGACGTTCGAAATGCGAAAGTGTAAGTTTGGTAGAACAAGTAATGTTTCACTGTAATTAATAGGGTTCTCTGAGCACAAAGTGCTAAATATGGCGCTGTAGATGTTGTCCAGAAGGACGATGAAAGCTTCGCAATTAAACCAACCAGCTCAGAGGACACTATTAATTGTAAATCATCCACCTGAGCTACAAATCTTCTCTATTAATGTTTCACTGTACATATACTTTTCTTTTGTCTATTTGCTGAAAAGATAACAACTACAACCACTTCAGCATGTTAAGTGTGATAAGTGTGTGTGTGTAGGAGAGAGTTGTAGAAGCACCCTTCAAAATAGATCCAATTAATAGGCAAACTTTTCAGAGGTCATGCTACAGTGTGGCTATCATGCTAGGTGGCTCACCATCGCAATGTACTGTGAATAGTTGGTATTAGATGGTTGGAGGCAATCGGCAGAAAGCCCTGGACCTAGGTTTCGTGCTAGTTGGCATTCAACAGCAAGGCGTATCTGCAACCTCAAAGGAACTCATTTTCTTCTGAAATTCGAACCTGCGTCACCCAGTGAGTACTGCAGTCACAGACGTTACCCCTGAGTTATTCAGGCCCGCGATTGATCTCCTGTAGAACTGTATTGTATGTACTGACGCGCGTTTTAATCTCAGAAGGGACATGAACTCTTTTGAGGTTGCAGGTACGCCTTGCTGATGAGTACCAACTAGCACGAAAGCTAGGTTCAGCGCTTCCTACCGATTGCCTCCAATCATCTAATATATAGCAGTTTTACTACAATGCGCAACAGTTTACCAATTAAGTGGCGTTATGTTTCTTAACAATAATTAATCAATATCAACATGTTACGGGACTTGATAGTAACCAAGATAGATAATTCAAACAACTGAAGGATAGAAATGATTACAACAATGATAACTTGTAATTAACGATGAAGTAGTTAGAAAAAATAATAAAATAATCTGGACAATTATAATTCCAAAGGTTAAGGAGTGAAGTAGTCCGGTTTATACATTCATGTAACGATGGCCAAGGTAACGAAAGTGGCTGTACAAATTTCTTCTGAACACACAAGTTTGGCTTCTTCTGATGGATTCCTATGGCTTCAGCTGTATGTAGAAGACGAACTCGTAAAGCAAAATTAAGATTAGTAGGAATGCGATAAATAATTTTAAATGCTGTATTAACGTTAACCTTATGCTCACTATCTACAAGGTGTGCTAAAACAGAGCTACGAATAGATCTTGTTTGTCCCTTGCTTAACTGCTATGCAGGATGATGCTTGGAAATGCGATGATGAACCTGCCTAATTGTACGCCCAGTGTAGCTGGCTTCACAGCTGCAGTCAAACTCGTAGATATACATAGAGGAGGCAAAATTACGTAGTCTATCCTTATTTTTCGAACGTAAAATAAGGATGGTAGTGAGGAGACAACGTATCCCTGCTGAATTGAAAGCCCTTTTAACTGCATTATTCAGGCGCTGTGTTAGTAATTCGCTGATTTTGTCACCGACGAACTGTAGTTGTATGAACAATAGTTTTTTTGAGCTGTTGACTCTCTTTGGTGCTGAATTAATATTTTTCTTAATGAACTTACCTGGATAACCATTTTTTCTAAGTAATCTTCTAATAATCTTAAGCTCCTCATTGCGACAGTCTTCTGAACAGATTAACCTAGCTCTATGAACCAGACACTTTAGCAGGTTACGTTTAGATTTCAAAAGTACAAAACTCAGAAGTTGAGTGTACTGACCTGTTGTTGTAGGTTTCCTATACACACTCCTTCTTAGTGTGCCATCTTCTTTCCTCACCATGAAGACGTCTAGGAATGAGACACTCTCATTACTTTCTTTCTCTATGGTAAACTTTATTGCTGAATGTGCATCAATAAACTTGTCAAAGATGTTCATTGCATCATTCTCGTCTTTCATAACCACAAATGTATCATCCATATATCGACAGTAGAAATCCAAGTCATTAATTACTCCTTTCAGTGGTCCATTCCCTAACTTAGCGAGGAAAATGTCTGCTATGATTGGATCTGATGGGGGACCCATAGCCACACTATCAGTTTGTCTGTAATATTACCAATTGAATAAGAAATGAACATTCATTGTAGATCTTAAGATAAGTTCCTTGAAGGAGAATAGAGAAACACCTTTATTTTCTAAATGTCTAAATAAAAATATACAAACAGTGCAAATTCTTCTTCTTATTCTCTATACCTTAAAATTAATTATATGCCAGTGAATACTATACTGTAAGTATTACTAAATCTAGCATAATCTTGAATTCAAGGTGTGGGCGAATGCAGCTATTCAAATCTTCTTTTCAACTGGGGCTGGATTTGGTGCTCATATCGCCTATGCAACGTACAATCCAAGAAAGTACAACTGTTACAGGTAATTTGAATTTAAAACAAAACATGTTCTGCTGAAAAAAATTCTTCCTTTATTCCTTAAGATTAACTGACATATCCTCTTGAAACTAACATTTATAAACAGAAAGTATTAAGCGATAATTCCAATTGAAACAGTAAACTGAGTCTCTTCAAATACACTTCTAATAAAGACAGTCCGTGAAGAAACTCAGCGGTAACCTAGTCTTGAGATCACTTAGTTCTGGCCCTAAAAGTACTAGTATTATAGATCATCTTGCTGAAGAGATAATCTCCACCGATAAATCAAACGGTGAGACTCACAGAACACGTGACAATTACTCGTAGCAAAGAACGCCCACCATTCTTTCAGGAAATCACAATCAAAATTGTTGAATTATTGACAAAAGAATAAAGAATGTTAAATTATCGGGGAAGTAGAGTCACTCAGGTACATTCCAATTCGCTAACAAACTTTCGTACCATTTTGAGTATCCTTTTACCCTATACAGCCAGAATGAGCTGAATTCTTACACTGAATTTGTCACAGAAGTATCAGTTCTCCTTGTTTGTTTGAAATATTCAAGATGGCTGGAAAATCAGTCATATGTACCAAACCTTATAAGAAAGATATCTTTATTAATTTATTGAGAGAGTAACCATTATGGGCTAAAATACTTGAATTTGTGAGACATAAGTCATCCTATGGAAGTGGAGTTTAGCTAACCCAGCCACTTCTATTGTTTCAAGGTTAAGTAGACCAATCGATCGAGAAAGCTGAAACAGACAGGGCGGAAATGAAGCTGTGAATATAATTGATAAGACGTTATGTTTCATACTTTCCTTTTAGCATGTTTTAGTGAAATAATTACAGGGGGGGAGGCAGCATAAACCAGTGGTAATACAATGCTCACCAACAACTCACAAGTGGTCCGGGTTCGACTCCTAAAACGTCGATCAGCTATTAGTTAGCTGGATAGACGGAGAAGATTGGATGTGGGACTAGCGACCACATCCTTTGATAGCAACACCATTATTACTGAAACTTAAATGTCAGGTTGTCGAACCCAATGTCTAACTCGGAACGTAAGGGAATGACTGAAAAGAAAATGCTCAGGAAAAATTTCAGGATGCAAATTACATTTACAATTGTTTCCTTAGCGAAATTCATATAATGCACTAATGTCGATAGGCACCATGACTGCCATAGTACTCAAGTCTTTACATTGGGCAGCTTCACTAGATTGGATAATACTTCAGCTATTTCACTGCTAACCATTTGGAAAAAAAGTGAAATGTTGACAGCGGATCTGTCACCTTCTCACCATGTAAAGTAGACAACATACAAGTGACTTTAAAACGACTGTAAATTTTTCTACGCTGTCTTCTCAGACATATACCATAGAAAAGTCATAACAGTTTGAGTTCATTTCAAATGAACATAATTTTTTGTCATCCCTTAATCAAGTATTTTTGACTATTAAAATGTAGTTCTCCTGATTCAAACAAGATATCCCTTTTTGCTTGTAGTCGTTTTCTCTGAGCTGGGTGGTTTATTCGCGAAGCTTTCATTGCCCTACTAGGTAACATCTTCAGCGCATACTTCAATTTGAATGGAGGTGAGCTTTTATATTTCTCCACGAGTTTACAAGTCATCTCTCCTGGTGGGTGAACCTGAACGTGATTGGTTGCTTCTGTGTGTCTTCACACCCTCTAGGCTACTTCTATTGGTACTGATTGTTTCCTTGACTTGAAGTTTGACTCTTTGTGTATGAGATTTCCTTCTTATCGATTGGTAAATTTTGTCTGTGTCAATGTGTCTATTGATTGACGAATCACTGGAATACCAGGCAGGCTTCTAAAAATTCTCTGGCATTCTTGATTTTTCACCTGTCTAATATTTGAACTTTGTCCAAGTCGTCAAAAGATATGACATTCACTCCCTCATATCACTACATACAGACAACCACGGACATCAGTTCGACTGGATGGAGATTAGTCGTGAATAAAAAAATAAACCTCTAAGTGGACACTATTCATTTACAGTCCATTTTTCACTAATTTTTCAAAACTATGCAGAAGTAAAGACCCGGAAACGAAATGTTTTTTTTCCTTTATTCAATAAATCTAAGCATCACAGATGCAATTTATTTACCAATTTTTTTTATAGAGACTGTTTAATTACTTCCCTTGTGAATGCGCTGACAAGTATGTTCGCTGGTGTAACTGTATTCGCCTACCTCGGTTACTTGGCCCATCTGACGCACACTTCAGTTCAAACTGTTACAGGAGAAGGTAAGAAAGCATGAAATGCATGCAATGAAAATAAACTAGAATAATATTTAAGCTAGGCTTAATTAGTAGAACACAGAAACATTGAAACTCACGTAAACTATGCAGAAAGGCAAAAATGTTTCAGCGTTTTCTTTGAGTCTTCATGTCCGATATACGCTATGGCACATGAGTAAGGTGACTAAGTAGTGTAGTCATGTTAAGAAAAAGTTTTTTTTCTTTTTCAAAATCGAAAACTGCTCTCTCAAAGTCCTTGAAAACCTTCAGCAAGATATCATCAGCAAGGTGTATAATGAAACATGAGGAAATATTTTCAACTGAGCCTCTGCACGTTCTGATAGTTGTCCTGTTACACACACACCCGCCTCAACACTGACACTTTCTCATTCACAGATCTACGGATATCAGTCCTCTGACTTTCAGAAGACTATAAAGCTGACATATTCTTCGTCAATATCTACAGAGACAGCTATTAAAGTCATCAGATCAAAAAATGGCTATCTTGAAAAGTATTCGTTCTTTATGATTAGTAGTCAAACCGTGTCTGTGGTTTCTTAGCCCAGACTACGCCTAATTTCTCAACCATTTTATCATTTACTCAGAGTTTTTCAGCGAAATCACCTTTCAAAAGACTATATAAAGAAGTTAAGATTATCTGGTATTATTCCATCCTTACGGTAGCCGTTTGTTAATTATTTTATTCTGCCTATACGTCCTTACTGTTCCCACTTAATCCTTCCCAGGCTACTAGTGAAAGACTTTGCTATACTGAGTAGGGCGCTAGAAGCCGTCCGTAGGACGATAAGGTGTGTTGCTAAACCAACTCGTTAATACTATTGTAGATAGACACTTGGATTCCTGCAAGGAATTAGCAAATATTATTCTGTCCATACATAACTCTCTCCTTGCACCTGATCAGGTAGAACTAGAAGCAACTTTAGAAGACTGTATACGCAGACGATTGTGTATGAATACTCTACAATACCTTATTTATCCGGGACACATTTTATGTGCCGAGAAAAGAGTAAACCACGGAAATTACCAACTTACTGAGGAACTCTTGGTAAACGGCATCGTTTTTTGTCGCTAATATTTTCATTTGATTTAATTTTATATTCACTTCTTATTGAACAGTATTATTAATGTGAATTACTATCAATGTAAATGCCCTATTTTAATTATTGCCCCTGTAATGAGAAAATTAGATGCATTATCACTTTGTATTACGCGCTGAAAGTTCCACATTTGTATCAAAAGTAATGTTTAGAATAAAGCCATTACTATTATTATTGCCATACAAAGAATATTCTTTTCGATAACTTCATCTTCACGTTCTACAGTTATATATCCATACATAATAATGAAAGAATGATTGATATTGACAGCATTAGTGGTTTTCAAAGAGCAACATCAAATCATTTAGATCAGAATTTCAAAAGTTATTTGCAGACAGACTGTTAGTAGATTATAGTCCCAAATAAATGTGCATGAGGTAATATGCATCACTGCAATACTGAATTGAACACCAATATTACGAAGTAAATAACTATGAATGACAACGAATGTGTAGTAATCAATTCTCATGAGTCATATTCATACTAAATTCTATTCATATTGATTATAAACTTTGGGTGCGTCGGTGGTATAGCGGTTAGGACGCTCGCCGACCATGTACATGGTTCGGGGTTCGATCCCCGACCGACGCACTCCTTTATCTCGCTGAGCCAGAAATAAAGCTGGTAAAGAGGAAAGGTTGGGCATGAGGCTAGCAACCCCAGCCTGTAAAATAAAAACTGCTACAGAAACTTCAAGCCATTAGCTTGAAGCCCTATGTTCCACTGGGGAACGTGAAGGAAAAAAAAATAAACTTCAGACGGATGAATGATCATGTCTAGGAGGGGGCTTTGTATGTGTGTATCAGTGTGTAAGTTAACAACTACGTTTAAATTAGAGAACAAAAGAAAGGTTAGTTAATGCCAGGGTAATGACACGGGCAGTAGTGGGATTTATATGTATAGGTTGGACGGCCATATCAAAAAAGGCCGATGTGTAATAAGGTATTTGTGAATTTTCAGACTCTATAGCGCAGGCCAGGGCAGTAACAGTGGTTGGACCTGTTTCTTCTGCACACATAGCACTGGTTGTTTTAGGCGAATTACAATAGCCTCTATTGTTTCGAGGATTCAGTACTCGGATGCTTTTAGCAATTTATTTGGTGCCCGGTAGATGACAGAGAAGGATAGAGACCGGTTCGGACCAGGCGGTCTAATATCGAGCTGCTAATGGTTTTTGCTACACCTTTACTTAGCCACACTGGTAGGTGTTCCCGAGTACGAAAATTACATCTATTTCTTGATGATAGAATTGTTCCATAAAGACAGTGACTCTTTTCATCAACCCATGATAAAGCTGTAAAATTATATAAGTATCTATAACCCTTTACTTTACAGTGGAGGGATAAATTTAAATACATCTTAACACAAATCCAGTCTGCTAAGAGCTGGAGAATTCCGAAAAGAATATTTATGCAACTTAAAGACTATCAATCATGTAAAGATTTATATATATGAAGATGAGATTTATTATCTTAGTTGAATGATGCTCTATATTTCAAAGCATATGGCGCAGTGTAGCAATAGAAAGGGAGAATTTTATGGCTCAAAGCGAGATGTGCTAAGATGAAAGGCTTTTAATGACGATAACGAATTATCAAGTATTGGTTTGTAGAGAAACATTGCTAGTTGGATGCGCTATGTCATGAATTGGCAGAATTAAGAATTCATGCGCCACTGGATCGGGTCCCACTGTCTTAATAGTCTACGAAATCGCCTTGTAACCAGAAGATCCTAGGTTCGAACCCCGGTAGGTGCGCACTGATGAAGAGTCCCAAACTAGGCTGACGAAACAGCTGTCCATTACTCCCTGAGGGTTTCGCAATGGTTTCGTAACCGATAACAAGTTCAACGAAAGTTTTTCAAGATTAGAAGGTAGAGTATTTACGTAGGTGTGTTTGGCCATAAATCTAACGCCTGGACAAGCTTATCTTCTCTGCTGAGTTCAGATTCACGAATAGTAATTAATTCGCTTTCTTCTAAAACTACACAACATCAGTCAACCGGATTGTTTAATCCCGATTTCCTTTTGACAAATCTTTACTTGATTAGTACTTCTCAAAAGGCATGCTTTTTTTGAAGGTCGCCTAATCTTGTCATAGTAGGGTTTTGTCAGGGTGTACATAGAAATATTCCCTCCTTTTCGCTGTCAAGTGATGGCTGCCTATATATATATATATATGCTATTCTTCAGTTTGACAATGAATCTTTTGCCAAAGTAGTTTTTCCCTGGGCATATTTCGCTTTGAAATATCATAATGTTTACAGACAAAAAGGAACTGACTCACTGACGAAGTTCAAGGCAGTAATTCAAAGCACTCTATGTGGAAGTGAAGATTCACTATGAAACTATTGTACTTTTCTGCCACTGGGATGGTAGTATGAAAAGAATAGAAGCGATACTTCCACAATAACATCACTAGTGTGAATCCCACACTACAAAGTGTATTCCTTCAGAAAAGGATACAGTCATATTGCTACGCACAGAATATGCAAGATTTTAAATTCTGCCTTTCTCTTTCTTTCTCACATTCAGAGCTTAAATTTAAATACTGTCTCACAAACTTTTTCGCATCTATTATGAAGGTCCAGGACTGGTGTTTCAAGTCTACCCTTTTGCTATCGGAACTTTACCTTTGGCATCATTATGGGCAACAATATTCTTCTTGTTATTGATCATGCTGGGACTGGACAGTGGGGTATGTACACTGAATTTATTCACCTGTTTAATCAAAATATTTTTAGATTAACCCGAATATGAGTACTCTATGCTTTTTGTGTCAATTAAGTTATTAAGTCTAGCCATCAATTAAAAGGTGATCCAAGTGATCTAGCGGATAACGCCTTTTGTGCATCGGTGGCACAGCGGTTAGGACGCCCGCCGACCATGCACATGGTCCGGGGTGCAATCCCCGGTCGACGCACTCCTTTACCTGGCTAAGCCAGTAATATAAGTGGCAAAGAGGAAAGGCTGGGTATGAGGCTAGCAACCCCATGCTGTAAAAGTAAACTCTGCTACATAAACTTCAAGCCCCTAGCTTGAAGCCTTATGTTCCACTGGGAACGTGAAGCAATAAAAAATGAATTAAAGGCATGGCATATTTTTAATTTGTGTGTGTCTGTGGTCCACTGGTAGAATGCTCACCAACCACACGTGTGATCCGGACTATGCACTCTTAAACTTCACCTAGTTTAATAACCAGCAATAATCCTAGAAAAGAGGGAAGGTTAGGTGTGAGGCAAACAGTCCAGCCCCGTAGGGTAACACTACCACAAGTGCAAAGTTTGAACCCCTATTTTTCACTTGGAGCGCGAAAGAAATCCTCTGTGAGAATCCACCTGAATGCACTGACAGTAGTATTTGGATAAATCTTTTTTAGTCAGATTTGAAACAATCTTGGAAGAATTCAGCAATTCGCCATTTTCTCCATTCCCTGATTACCAGGATTTGACATAAAACTAGGAGAAGTTTTGCGCTATCTGTTTAACTACCATTACTTGTAGATGAGCATTGGCGGCGTTTATATAACCTTAAGAACCATTCTGGCTCTTAGTATATTATCTAAACATCTTTATGAGTCACGTGGGATAATGGCAACGATGCGCTATTCACTGTAAAACTTTCGTACATTATTTAAGACGACAATATTGTTCAGCATATAGGTTATGAGAATCACACACAGTCAATTATGATGAGTTTCTCCAAGTACGCTATTTGATTTGCAAATTTGCCCTCAGTAAGTTTTGCTGACGGGCTATTGCATTCAGTTGCATGATATGAAGTGTAAAGCCAGAGTAATATATGTGCAACAGGAACTAATATATTACCTTTACGCTTGTAAAACATGAGTGTTCTTAGTTAGAAGCAAGTGTAGTAATCTGTGTGGCTTGTGTAAGAATGACTATTTTATGAGGCTTGTGTTTGGGTACAGTAATCATTATATCACTGATTTGATCGCTAGTCTGTCTTTTCACTGGAACTTTCAGACTAATTATTACTTGTCATATTCGAGACTGGTTGAAAACAAATGATAAGCCAGTAGGGAGTGCATCATAAACGATTGTATTCAATTGGCGTCACTCAATTTTGATATGAATTTCCAAACGCTCGGTAGCTTAATATATACATATGTATCATTTTGCTGCAATCTTCCCTCATCACCTCTCCCGTATTATCCTTATTACGACATATCACGCGTTACAGCCGTACAATTTTAGAAACTGTGACATTTGTACTTTGTTTCTCACATCTATCCCGATAAGGTGCTTCCTTGTGCTTAGTTTTACCAAGTCTTTTAGAGTTGTTGTGTCCTGTGAGTTGGATATTTTAAATGTGAAGCTTTGAGCGTTTTTATAACTTCAATGTGAAATTAGTGGTGAAGATGTTGTCTATAAAAGTGGTGCAGCTTCTTAATTAAATCGCCTAAACATAAACTTTTGCAACAATACCCACCTGAACTAGAGATTTCCTTTGTCAGTTCAAAATCTTAACAGATGATTTTTATCTTAGATAAATAAGATTAGTGACTGTAGTTGAGACATTTTAGAAATCTAGATATGCGTACTTGTCTGGAGTGTTTTGCGAAATATGGGCACGCAGAATGATGTTCGCCAATTCTAGGAATCGCTCAGCTTTATATTTTATGTTTCTTTCCACACTTCCATGATATGGTCAATTTGTTTTGTTCAATGTATTTTTTAGTGTCACATTATAAGAAATCCTGATGGTTCAGTAGTAGAATGTTTGTCACCTATTCATGTGTTCCGGCTTCGATTCTCGTCGGACACACTCTCAAGCCTCGTCTAGCCGGAAGTAAATTTGGAAATGAGGAAAGGTTGTGTATGGGGCTAACAACCACCCCCCTCCTTTAAAAATGACATGGACGCCACTGAAACTCCAGAACCTGACGCTCTGTATTCCATTCAGGATGCAAGGAAATAAAGAAGAGAGGTTCAGCCACAGGTCTTAGTTTATGGTGAAGGCACATCGTGTTTTGACTGGCGAAAATTCTACCCCTGTAAGAGACATAATTGTTCGGTTACTAGGATACATCGACTAGTCGTATATGTAATGAAAACTCTTTTTTGTAGTTTAAAAACAAAAATTTCTTCAAACTAAACTATATTGTCACTCCAGCATTATTCATAACAGCATATTTTTTTGCATTTCAGATGGGTGGATTAGAATCTGTAGTTACTGCTGTAACTGATGTTGTACCAAAGAAAATTTCACGGCGTAAACATTTCAGACCATTGATTACACTGGTTGTACTCGGTTCAGCATGTTCAGTAGCCTTTGTTAATGTGACCAGTGTAAGTCTTAGATTTATATTTATTTGAAACACAACCTTCATACATTATGGAGACCAAGAGATGCAGTTACTAGTCATGATATTACCAGTTTTTGTGGCACATTGATTGTTTGGCAGGTGATGATACCACCTAGTTGCCTAAACTAGGGTAGATGGGACGGAATTCAAACCATGAACCCACCCGTCAAATGTCTAGTCTGATTAGCTACATGGGATAAATTTGAATATAATAGTAATTAACACATTTACGCTATTACAGTCCAATACAGTCAGAATAAGACTCACTGCAAAACTCTGAATTATATTGGACGAATACTTCACCCGAGTCACTGAAACTAATCGTAATTCGAGTATAAAATGGAGTCAGTCTTCGCTTTATTTCCACTTAAATATTTACAGATGATCAAAAAACTGTTTTGTGTTACATTTTAATGACTGAAGACAAGAGACTTGGTAAAGGAATGTTTGCTTATAATATGGTATCTCTATATAACAAAATTATGTACACCTTATCTCCAAATTGTGATTTGCACAGATCTTCTGTGTTGTGCTACTTCTACCCTTCGTATCGTGTTTCTTTGTCTTCTTTTCGTATTTCCCATGTTTTGCCGCAACACCCGTTCATTTGCTCTCTTTGAAACCAAATCTATCTCTCCGCCACTTGATAATTTTGTTCCAATGAACGTCTCTTTATGTACTACTGATAAATCTTATCAGTAGCACATGCCACACATCAAATAGTTTCGAACGGAGCCGTTTCGACCTTCCTGGTTCAGTAGTGCTGACTTCCGATGGTAAGCAATGAAAATATACCACGTGTACTCAACTGAGTTCGTTACATCACGGCACAAAGAAATGCAGCTGAAAATGAGTCCAAACTTAGTATCAGAATGAGCCTGAATGAAGGGTGAAAATCACAGGTTTTGTAAACCCTGGCTATATAGTCTTTAGGAGCAACATCATTTTGCTGTTGTGGAATCTCATGGTCTAAGACAACCAACCAACCAACCAACTGTTGCTTCAGAAAACCAGAATATGGATTCATATAGATACTTTCAATATTTAAAAGAAAAATTAGCACTGTTAGGTGTCAACCAAGTCAGTTCTACGACTTGCAGTCAACTTTCTTGGCATGCTAATAACTCAGAGAGAGATTTAGGTATTGGTTTGTAGGGATTCGGTTGATTGGTTACAGGATTTCATCATGAGCTGACATTGGCTAGAGAACCACTGGAAAACCTGGGAGTACTGGACAGCTGTTTCGTCCTAGTTTGGGACTCTTCAACAGTACGCACCCACTGGGGTTCGAACCCAGGACCTTTTGGTTACAAGGCGGGCTCGTATACCATTAAGCCACTGGGACCCGATCCAATGGCCCATGAATTCTAACTTCTGCCAATTCACGATATAGCACAACCGCTAGCCAGTGTCTTCGGCGAGTATTTGTCCTCACACCCGACCTGCTGCACCCTACTGGTCACGACTTCCCACTGGAACCCCAGGTAACTACCTACCTGAATAGGGCCAGTCGCTAGTGAGCATCTCATTGATATTCAAGTACTGGTTTGTAGGGATTTGGTTGATTAGTTACAGGATTTCATCATGAGCGTACTGTTGAAGAGTCCCAAACTAGGACGAAATAGCTGTCCAGTACTCACTCCCAGGTTTTCCAATGGTTCTCTAACCAATGTCAGCTCATGATGAAATCCTGTAACCAATCAGAGAGAGAGAGATTGTTTCAGTCAAGACATCATGAATACGCCGGTGAAGTGGGTAAACTGAATCACCACAACGGGGCTACAGTTTGGACAGATACATGACAGAAATAATTTCGTGTCACACTAAACATGGATGGACGGTAGAGTTTGACTGGATGTTGACTACTTTAGTATTCAGAGTGAATGTATTTAACTATACAACAAAATTTCATTATTCAGTTCCCTCTTATACAATCGGGCATAAGTCTTTATTATATTCTGTTTTTTAAGGGTGGAATGTACGTATTTCATCTAATGGATCGATATATGGCTGGAACTGCACTATTAATAGGCAGTCTTTTCCAAGTTATCGCTATAGCATGGTTCTACGGTGAGTAAATTATCACTGATATGTGAATATTATATAATCTGAGTAATATGGAATACCGAAAAGAACAACCTGATTTATTCTGTAGGAGTTAAGAATGAAATCTTGAAAGGTGTATCTCATTCTATTCTGGCCTAATCACTTTGCTTCATCTAAATGAAACGAAATGCGCGCCATGGATTCGTCTGCCAACCACTTTCACGTATACAAATAACATCATACTAAAACTTAAAGCACTATCAGTGCGTCTACTCCAATGTAGATAGGTGATTCAATACGGTCAGGCGAATTCAACACCAGGCAGGATTTAAATTGTACTGCCATCGAAATTTGATTAAAACTTAATCTTTAGTAAGATAGTGTTAACCAGTTGCAAGACAAATATTTAGATAGTTGGATCGCATTTAAAACGACGATTGTGTAATTGTTATTTGGTGAAATTAATATTTCGAATTCTCCACCGATTGACTGCATAGGGTTGAAATGCTTAGTATATGTTGACATGTCAGCTTCCATTGCAGACAACTCGATAATGTCTAGAGATTAATAGAGTCTTATTTGGTTGATAGCGATTAACGGGGGAATCCAGAACGCGCGCGCTTTGCTTCCTATTTGTGACTCTCGTGGACCACTGGCCTAATGGAAAATGCCTTGGCGTCTGAAGCGATAGGCACTGGATCAGAGTCTCAGTGAGAATACGATTACTCAATCAGATAATGGTAGATCCAGTTGACGATACCCAACTAAGACAAAACGCGTGTCCTGGGTTTCAACATTTCAGTGCTGTCAGCAAAGAACACCATCAGGCATATATCAAACCTTCTCTAAATAGTATGTTGTGGAAGATTAAAATTCACCTGCGAGCCATAATGGAGACCTGTTGTCAATTAACAGACGAGAGGAAAGAGGCCAGTTCTAAACTTTAACATATTTTAAACCAAATTTGGACGGAAGCTGAGAAACCAGTGAACAAGTCAGAATACATCTTTCAAAGAGAAGGTAACTAAATGACTAACTTACAGAATGGACCTTTACTAAGTTTTCATTCTGACAGGTAAACACATTGGCCACTAGGCTTATGACAGCTGAAGATCGAAAATGAATTGATACAAGTACAAGAGATTTTATATCTGAGGTGAATATTTTTGTTCTCTAAGCTTTCATTGTGCGGTCAGCATTGAAGACATCGCGTATGGGTGACAATGAAAGGTACGCAGTTAAACCATCCAGCTTAGAGAACAAAAAGCCAATGAAAGAGAATACAAGGGCCTTAAAAATATCCATTGAAACATGAATAACATATTGTTCTTATCAATGGGACATCAATCAGATGCTTATCTCTGGCGTTGCTCTAATAAATAAAATAATTCAGACATTGATAACGTGTAAAATGCTTAGGCGGAGGGTGAAACTGTCAGCTTTATACATTCACGTAACGATGGAACATGGCTGTACGAACTTCTTCGGAACACATGGGTTCGGCTTCCTTAGATGGATTTCGATAGTTCCAGCTGTTTTTTTAGAAGATAAATAACTTAAAATGCCCAATGTCTACAATGTGCACTGAAACACATTCTCTTTCACTTTTTGACTATTTTTATAACTTATACTTATAGCATCTAATGTCATCAGTAAGTTACGCCTCCTAATCTTAACTTGTAGGTATGAATGAATTATGCCAAGACATAAAGTCCATGGATCTTCCAACTCCTAACGTATACTGGAGATTTTGCTGGAAAATACTGACACCGATTACTTTGATCGTAAGCATTTTCAATGTATATTAACATTTATTTAAATTAGACAATTTTATCCTAAACTGTAGGTAGTAATAGCACCCCTTGACCCCACTCCACCCCCAACCACTAACGTGTGAGTAGCCTGTTAGCCTGTGCACGACACGTGTTGTATGAGTCTACAGATAACGAGAAATTAAATGAAAGAAGAGAATACTGCTCGACAATTAATTTCAGTGAGCTATTTTTAATGAGATGGTTAGTAATCCTACTTGGCTGCCGAAACCTTGACAAACAAGAGCATGCACGAAACCATGGCCCAGTGTTTGGAAGCCCTATAGCTAACGACTAACGAGTCATATTTGTCTGTTTTTCATGTGACCAGAGCATTAATTGATTCTGAGTATTTATTCACCCCACTGTCATAGCAAGTACATATCTAATCACTCCAGCTACACCACTGATTAAATGAAAACCTGAAAGATACTCCAGACAGTGTAGAATACAAATTAAGTAGAAAGAGAGAGGGAGAGAGTGAAGTGCTACAATTAAAAATTAATACACTGACTAACCAACGGACTGACGAATATTATATCCATGATGTAAAAATATCCAAATAAGCAATCAAGGCATCGCTACAGAACCATAAGAATTATCAGTATTTCATTAAACAGAACAGACTGTTTATTTATTAGCCTATGAGTGCACCCATTGTGCGGTGGGTGTTACTAGGTTAGAACAAGCGGATCAGGGTTCGTCCTCGGAACACACTGGCGGAAAACTAAATGCCCCTAGAGAGTGAATCACACAGTTGTTACTGTGTAAAAATCCACAATTTCATTTTGCAAAGAAATCATGAATGATTAAGCGCTATAAGTGAAGAATAGCCCTTTTCAAAACTGAACCGAATTGCTATCATGGAATTTTAAGGTGAAACAAAAACTCAGCAAAATAACACATAAAAGTGGTGAAAAAAAATAATCAGGACTCAAATACAGGCATAAAAATGCATCAGAGGAAGAACAATTACATAAAAAGTGATGACGGTTTACGAAATCTGAAACTCTCGTCTAATGAATTAGGCGGTCATAAGCCCTAAAAAGAGGAGCAGCGGTTGAGCGTCAGGCTGGTAACTCCTCTCTGTAAAAAACAATCTAGTCGCTACGGAAACGTCAAAGCACAGAAAAATAAAGTTGTTCTCTATTGAAATCTTTTGGGGAGGGATAATGCCAGTAGGAGAAAGTCATCCGAAATCTGGTTGCCCGATGGGTTTGCTTACAATGGAAGCAGAAGTAAGCATAGGATATCCACATCATGTGAGAGGCTGTTAAGACTGATCATATTGCAGAAGAATTGCAAAAAATTTGGTTCGAAAGTATTAGAACACATAGAATGCAAGCAGAATCGTTAACTGGGGCATCATTAGTCTATTCCGTTTTCCCAGACGACATCCACTAACACACCGACAGTGTGGCCATAGTGATGTCTCCAACAGAACCAAAGGCTCTTGTGTAGTGAGAACCAATATCCATGAGGACAACGACAGCAAGATTCAATTCAAAAGGAAGAAGTGTCACAATTTTCAGATGCTACGGACAACGCCAATCAAGAGAAGGAAAACTTCTACAATGAAATCCTAATAGGTGACGTGAATGCCGAAACGGAATCAGGCAACACAGGAACAGAACTCGTCATGAGTTAAGACTAACACGATGAAATGAATGAGCACGAAGAACACTTTGCAGACTTCTGTGCCTTCATTGATCTCATGAATGGAAGTAGTGTATACAGGCACGAGATATTCACAACGAAACGGGTTTCAACAAACAGGCTTACGAGAAATGAGGCAAACTTCATCTCAATCTCAAGAAAGTGGGGATGCAGCTCACTGAACTCAGGATTTTGGAGAGCATTAGATGAGGATTCAGACAGTTTTATTTTGCTATAATCGAAGGGATCAAATTGAAGGATTTCTAAAGAATCCGAAAACAGACCAAAATTTAAGTTTAGCATTCAGAAACCCAAGGGCTAAACCGCAGGCTACAGGTAAAAGAGATCTTATAATAATAATAATTCAATTTTCCTCATCTACATATTGAATAAGATCAACACAGACGAACCCAGATAAAGAGGATGCATCAAATGCGAACACCGGGGACATGGAACAGAGACTACCCTCGACTGATCATCTAAAACGACATCTCCTCTGGATTAGACGTGATATCTGGCTATCTACCAAAGGATGTGTATACTGCTCAGAGGTTTTGCCCGTCATTCTTTATGGCTGTGGTGCACGGCCATTGAAATTGGAGGATACAATAAGGCTAATTTTCTCTGAACACAGATGTTTGGCTTCTATCTCTCATGTTAAACGGTATGGTATGATATGTATTGTTGGAGTTACGCGTAGGGTTTTAGGTAGGGATAGAGACAGAGAGTCAGTCAATGAGATTGTGGAGCCGAGTCGACTGAGGTGGACGTGCAGTGTTAGCTGACATACGACTGATGAGGTTGGAAAAGAGCTAGTGGTGTTTGAAAGTAATACTTGGAATCAGTTCATGAAATGTCTGACAGTCAGTTTGAGCCACGTGGGGGTGTGTAGACTGTCTGACTGGTTGGGGTTGTAGGAAGTGTAAGAACCAATGGTTGGAGAGAGTTGGTGGAATGGCTGGAAATCATTCTCGATGATGCAGATGTATTCACTCTCTCTGACCACTGATATGCATTAAACCGTATTGTTTTTCCATGTGAGTCAGTATTCTTTCTTGGCTACATTTTTGCTCATAATGGTTCTTTGTAATTTTTTTTCTGCCTTTTGTCTTCGTTTGTGTGGTATATGGAGTGAGGGGAGTCGAACTGCTGCACTTCCGTGCATAGTTCTATGTTAAATCTCAGTCATTCAGTCAATATTATTCAACAAATTATAAAAAATAACATTAGAGATAGAACTCAAACATCTGTGGTCGGGAAAAACTAGCCTTATTGTATCTTCCACTTTTAATCGCCATCCACCACAGCCATAAAGAATGACGGGTAAAACTTCTGAGCAGTATACACATCCTTTGGTAGATAGGCAGATATCTCGTTTGGCAATTGCCCAACAATCCCTTTGTATCCGTGTCGAAATTTAGTCACCAGTCGGTTTATAAGGGCTAAAGCAACTTCAGAAATAAGTGAAGTGGAAAACAAACTCATCGCTTTATCAATTCCGCTTGAGTGAGATCTGTTACAGCTCCTTGATCCGTTCAATATAGCCCTTCATAACCGTAAATTGCTGTAGCACCTGTCGGTCGACAGAGTCGAATGCCGCCTTCGAGTCAAGAAATACGGAAAATTTCGTACGTTCATAATTACATGTATATTCCAGAATATGATGGGGGATGAATATGTGGTTAATACACCCTCTTCATGGCCTGAAGCCTGTCTGATATTCTCGCGCTTATTCCTCTGGAGCATCACTGAATCTCCTCATGATTATTCAACCTACAACTCTAGATACTAGATCAGTCAAGCTGTTCCCTTATGATTATCACACATAGAGTTGTCTCACTTCTTATAAACTGGAATTATCATTAACTTACACCAGTCTAACGGGAATACTTCTGATTCCCAGACATAACTTTACATTTTAGCTAACTCAGACAGCAGTTCACCACCACCGTCACTAAAGACCTCTGTAGTCATTCCATCAGGTCCTATTGCCTTATCTCGTTGCAGACTAAAGACAGTCTTTGTAACTTCACGTATAGATAGAGGACGGATGTCTACATCTCATTCAGGTAAATGTTGGATGCCGATCAAGTTGAATGAGGTTGTAGGCCAGCTAAATTTCTTCCCAAAATGTCCCCAACAACGTTCCAGCCTTCTATCCTGAGAGCTATTCAGGCCCCGCTTTTCTCAGAAATCGTCTCATCAATCGCCTTTTAAAACCGGTTCTTCTAATAAGCTTAAACAGTTGTCTGCTGCTGCCTGTAGCCTATGCCTTCCCGTCTCACTGGCCTTTAACGACCACTACAATTCGGTGTTTTTGCGAAGACTTTTGGTCAGCTTATTTTGGGCAGCTTTCGCCATTCTTCATGTTCGGATGAAGTAGCAGAAATCTGCTGGTAATTAATAACCTTTGGTTTTACGTAATCAAGAGTCTTGATTACTGTTTCCACAGGTTACCAGATATTATGTCAGGCATCCTCAGAATGAGCCTTGCAGTCAATCTCAGACACACGTTTGACTATTTCTTTCTTGAATAGAGACTTAGTGTTCTGGACAAGTTGGAGGCGTAACAGATTCATTGCTATCTGTTACCTGTGTCTGCCCGACCGTACACAAATAAAACTGCACGGAGTAGGGCGTGAACGGAATATGCTCAAGTGTTTCACAGAGAAAGGAGTCTTCTATAGATCTTCAATACAGACAGCTTATCGCTATGTGGTCTGTTTGAGCTCATCGTTGGTGTGATGATGGAGGTCGCTAGGTGAGACAATTTCTTTATTTGCATTTGAAGTTAGTGCTGATCAGAAAGAGACAGTTTTCTGAACGGAAGTGTAGAATACGATAACCGTCGTCTGTTTGCTTGCGTGGAACTCCGTAGGTGCTGCCAACATAATTCTCACACTGATACAATTTCTCTGCTTGGGCCCTGAAGTCATCTTCTAGGACGACGACATCTCAGCCCTTCACTTTTAGCATCAAACCTGATATTTTTTGATAGGATAGATTCTTTACTTCATCCGAACTCCAGTCTGTCGGGGCGGAAGAGGAGATCATGAAAAGAAAATAGGCGGATATCTCGGTCTTTCCTTCTTCTAACGAATCCATTCAGATAGGCATTATGGAGGTTGGACCTAGAGTGCTAGGTAAGAAGGGCAGGCCGATGGATAAAGTCGTGCGAATGCATTGAGTAAGATGGAACGTCATATTCCTCGACTAGCAATATTTGCTGACACAGGATTAGGTTGGTTGAGATTTAGGAGTAGTTAAGTCATAAATGGCATCAGTTCATTAAGTCTTTGACTGTTAGTTGGTATGGG